GATGTGAGCTCAGCAACAAAGTTCGCCAAGGCTTGTGCTTTGATGGCTATCTTTGGTTAGTATTGGACATCAAAATTGCCTAGCTTTACTACTTACTTACGAAGTCTTCCCTGGAACTCTCTTTAAAGGCTGATTTGTGACTACAACGATGGTGTGACTTTGGAAGTAATGTCGGAGACATCTTATTATTGAGATCAGGGCAAGCACTAGTTTTTCTACCCCTAAATATCTTATTTATGCTCCTCGATATGCCTTGCTCATATAATAAACAGGCTTTTTCACTCCTTCGTTGTCTCTGATGAGTACGGAGCTTACTGTCGATGGGGAAGCAAAGAGGTACAAGTACAAGGTTTCACCTGGAGTAGCATGCGAAAGGAACGAGGGCGTAGCCAAGTAAGCTTTGAATTTTTGAAAAGTCTCTTCTGCCTTAGGTCCCCACTCAAAGGTTTTTCGGAGAATCTTGAAAAAAGGTAAGTACTTATCAGCAGATTTGGAAACAAATCTGTTAAGTGCTACAATTATTCCGTTGAGGTGCTAGAACTCCTTGGTTGTGGTGGGTGATTTTATATCCAAGATGGCTTTGATCTTGTCTAGATTCACCTCGAATCCCCTTTGGTTGACCATGAAGTCTAAGAACTTTCCTAATCTGATACTAAAGGCGCATTTCTCAGGGTTCAGCTTCATTCGGTATTACCTGAGAACATCGAAAGTTTCTTGAAGGTGGTCAATATGGTCTGCTGCAACGAGGCTTTTTACCAGCATATCATCTACGTATACCTCCATTGTTCTCTCGATCTGAGACTGGAACATCTTTTTCACTAGCCATTGGTAGGTCGCTCCCACATTTTTCAGTCTAAAAGGCATGACCCTATAACATAGGTCCCCTTTGTAATGATGAATGACGTCTTCTCCTAGTTTGGGGGATACATGCTGATTTAGTTATATCCGGAGTATGCATCCAGGAAAATGAGCAATTCGTGGCCTGTAGTGGCGTCAATTAGGAGGTCGATTTGTGGCAACGAGTAGCTGTCTTTAAGGCACGCCTTGTTGAGTTCGGTGAAGTCAATGTATAGACGCCACTTTCTATTGGCTTTAGTCACCATCACCACATTTGATAGCCACACTAGATAGGCCACTTCTTTGATTGTCCCCTTTTTCTATCAACTTCCCCACCTCCTTGTCCATCATTTGCCCTCTTTCAGTGGAGGCGCTTTTTAGCTTTTGGCAAACAGGCTTGTAATGAGGGTCAACATTGAGATGGTGGGTGGCGACCTTAGGGTCGATGGCCTCGAAGTCTTCATGTGACCATGCGAAAACATCCATACTGCCTCTCAAAAAATTTGTAGGTTGGCAGGCTAAATCTTTAGGAAATGAGGAGTCAATGTACACTCTTTTGTCTGGATGCTTCTCATCTAGGACCATTAATGTGAGGTCCTCCATTAGTTCTCATCTATCTAACATGGCATCATCTCTAGGGTCGAGGACCTCTACTTGTAGTGTTTCTTGTGTCTTCTTAGTCTTCATAAAGGCGACATAGCATTTTCTTGTAGCAACCTGATCTCCTTGGACCTCTCCGATTCCATTTAGGGTTGGAAAGCGGAGGATAAGATGACATGTGGAGGGCATGAATTTGTGGGTGTTGAGAGTGAGTCTTCCCAAAATAAAGTTGTAGGCTGAAGAGTAATCTATCACCAAGAAGTTCACCATAACCATGGAGCTTCGAGGTGTTACACCAACGGTGACTGGCAAGGTGATGGATCATAGGGATACACCTTCTCCCCTGAGAATCCGATAAGAGACGACCTGATAGGTTGTAGTCTTTCTCTCCTCAAGTTGAGCTTGTCATATGCTTCTGCGAATAAGATGTCCGCAGAGCTGCTGCTGTTTACAAGAATCCTTCATACTTGGAAGTTGGCCATAATCATGGTTAGCACCAGAGGGTCATTGTAGGGGTGCTGAATTCTTTCCAGGTCTTTGTCTAAAAAGGATATAACCTCGTCGTTTCCTCGTTTAGGCGCCTTGGATGAGCGCAAGTTGCCAAGATGTCTAGCCTTTCTAGCATGGGCCTTCATAGCTGAGAAAAATTATCCTCCTCCTGCGAGCTCCCCTAGAGATGGTGTGAATTTCTCCAATGGGTTACTGGTCCTCTTGATTATGAGGCGGGCACAGTGCCTAACCCCTACCAACAACATACTGGTGTAGTTGATCACGCTGTATGAGTCCCTCAATTTATTTTTTGAGATCATAACAATCGTCTGTGTTGTGACCATGATCACATGGAAGCAACAATACTTGTTTGGATTCCTGCAATTTGAAGGAGATTTCCATTCTCCCTGACCACTTCACTGCGGGGTCATCCTGGATCTAGAATAAGATGTGCCCGACAGTGGCATTGAGGGGAGTGAAGATTTGTCGCTCCCTCTGAGGGGCAAGACCAAGTTAGTCTTTGACAGATACCTTTTCTGTCCTACCTCATTTGTTTCCATTCTCCTTGTCTTTTATATCTCTCTCCTTTCTCTTTTCCCCTGTTTGTGAGGATTCACCTCGCTTGGCCTTGGTGATGTCCTCAACATTCATGTATTTTTAGGCTTTCACTAGCAGTTTTGGCATGCTCTTTGGTGGGCGCTTCATCATTGAGTAGAGGAAGCTCAATGATTGGAAGCCTCCTAGAAGGCGGTCATGGTGACCTTATCGCCGGATTCCTCGATCTAAAGAACTTCCTCGTTGAAACGGGTGAGGTAACTCCTCAAACTCTCGTCTCAGTCCTACTTTATACTAAGCAGTTGGGTGGCAGACTTCTGGTGGCGACGCCCTCCGATGAAGTGTGACACAAAGGATCTTCTTAGCTCGGCAAATGAGCCAATGGATGTTGGGATGAGCTTGGTGAAACATTGTGTAGTTGCATTAATGACTTGTAGGTTTCAAGGTGATCAAGTGAGTTTTTTGTACCGTCAAAGATTTTGATGAATGGAATTCTGAACTTTTGGGAAAGGAGGTAGTTTGCCACGTCTGGCACAAAAGGCGTGTCAGTTCACCTTACGAGGTAATCGACAGTCTCATGTCCTTGTGCCTTCATGGCGTTGAAGATGTCGCCCAGTTGATTCTGCACCTCTTTAATTTTTTTGTCCCAATGATTGGGGGCTCATTTGGAATTGTCATGGAAATGACTCTCATACTCCCCACTTTGATTTTTGCCCTCATCCTCTTGAAACGAGTGTCCCTACCATGGGAAGAAGGAACTAGAGGAAGAGGTGGAGGTCCCTCATGGTTCTGATGAGGGGCTCCCCTGACGCCCAGGGCGTGGAGCTCCTTTGTCTTAATGTCTTCTGGGCTATGCTCCTTTTTGTCCAATGAGCATAAGTTACAGGATCAGCTGATTCTGAGTTACGAGCTACTACATTGTTTTCAACATATACTGTGCATTTTGGAACGGGATTGGTTGGTAGAAGGGCAACATCTCGTGGTGAATTGATTTCAGACTGATTCATGAATCTGGTGGTAATCACCATAGGTACAACAAGAAAAGTGATTAAGTGAGAATTTTGTCAATTCCTATAGACGACATCAAACTTATGATGCACAAATTAGTTTTATGCAACACCGATCAAGTGATCAGTAATTAATGTAGTAATTAAATAAAGAAAGGGAGTAACTCAAGCAAGACGAAAATATAGAGTGGTTCGGTCAACGTGACTTATATCTACTATGAAGGGCTAGGATAACCTATTTATTTTATTACTTTGAAGAGTGTAGGGAGACCAGGGAGATACAAGCAATGAGAGTGATAGCAGAAGTGCTTGATTGTGTTCCCCAAGTATTAGCGGGACTTACAATTTATAGTCGCCTCTTAACAGATTGAGGCTGCTTATCAGTAACTAAAAGGCTAATTTGTTGGAGGTGGAGTCATCTTCACAATAGATGAGACTGTTGCAAGGTTCCCCTCAAGATCAAGTCAGAGATGACGTGGTAATTGACTTTTTCTAAGGCGGCGTAGATGAGACTCTCATGATGACCCTGTCTCCCTTTATGATTGGGCATGAACCTTTTTTGGACTGGACGCATCAGATCTCTTCAAGTTGGTCTCTTAATTTAAACTGAGCTCATAATATGAGTTGGCCCCTTGGGCCCGGCCCATCAACCATAATATATTATCTAAAAGTTTAATTTTACAAGTTGTTGATTATAAGCATTGATGCAATTGTGACTATTTTTATGTTATATTATGTTGTAGATAATGTTTTAATTATATAATGTTATATTATATTATAGAGTTTTTAATTATGTTATGATATTTTATAATTATATTAAATTATTTAGAATGTTGAATTTATTTAAAAATTTATATTATGTTGGCTTAAACTTGGATTTGGGCTGGGGCAAATACAAGGAACAGGGCAGGGGCAGGGATTACAAATTTACTTATGAATAGGGATGAAAATAAAAATTATACATGTTAACGGGTGTAAATCGAAGATGAATATAATTTTTTTTGACGAATACAAAAATAAAAACTATACCCAAGCCCGCCTCCGTTTCTGCTTCGATCCACTGACACTCCTGGGGGGATCCGCACGAGAGGGTTGCTTTGGGGGAGGTGGGTTTGCATGTGATTGAGAAAGAGTGGGATGGGAAAAGGCTATCGTAGTGATTGAGTGACTGAGAGAGAGATGGGGAAGAGAAAATGTGAATATATAGTTGAAGGAGTATTTTGATAATTATAGCTCAATTAAAAAAATATCTCGTATTTTAGATAGCATTTTGGTCTTTTTATCATTTGTGTAGCCCTGTTATTTAATCGTCATATTCCAAAGTAAGAAATTTACGTAATTAAGGAATAAACTTTAAAAAATTCTGATATAATTTATTTATTTTTATATCAGTTTATTTTTTATCATTTTTTTTTATCAATTCGTTTCTTCACAATCAAAGAACCTTGACGAATTGGTGTGGTTGAATATTCCCTTAGATAACCCAATAGTTCACCTTCAGCCCCCACAAACATGGCGACCCTCTCTTATCCTGCTACTTCTTCTCTCTCAACCCTCAGAAAAACCCTACACCCCAACCCCTTCAAAACCCTTATCTTCAACCCACTTCTCTCACCTCCACTACCCACCCGCCTCTCAAATCAACCACCATTATCTCTCAAAACCACCCACCCCACATTACCTTCATTCGTCACCCCACTCCACTCCACCTCCTCCGCCACCACACTCACCACCACTACCACCGCCCCACAGACCCTCAAGTCCCGTCTCAACAATGGTGAGACCCTCTATGGCCTCTTCCTCCTCAGCTTCTCCCCAACTCTCGCCGAGATCGCCGGCCTCGCCGGCTACGACTTCGTCGTCGTCGACATGGAACACGGTCACGGAGGAATCTCTGACGCCCTGCCGTGTCTCCACGCTCTTGCCGCCGCCCGAACTCCGGCGATCCTCCGCATCCCTGAATCTTGCCCCACCTGGGCCAAAAAAGCCCTAGATCTCGGCCCTCAGGGTATCATGTTTCCGATGATTGAAAGTGCGAAATTGGCGCGTAAGGCCGTGTCCTATTGCCGATTTCCGCCGAATGGTGTCCGTGGAACGGCGCATACCGTCGTTAGGGCTTCGAATTATGGCATCGACGCTGGTGGGTATTTGAGCAATTACGAGGATGAGCTATTGATCATGTGTCAAGTCGAGTCTGAGGATGGGGTGAAGAAGATCGAAGAGATCGCGTCCGTTGATGGGGTTGATTGCATTCAAATGGGTCCGTTGGATCTGAGTGCGAGCATGGGGTACTTGTGGGATCCTGGGCACAAGAAGGTGAGGGAGGTGATGAGGGCGGCGGAGAAGGCGGTGTTGAAAATGGGTACCAAAGCCAAAGGCAGCGATGGTGGGGGTGGGGCTTTCTTGTCTGGCTTTGCTATGCCACATGACAGTCCTGAGGATCTCAGGTCAAGAGGGTATCACATGGTATCTGGTGCTGTTGATGTGGGGATGTTTAGAAGTGCTGCTGTTGAGGATGTCAATAAGTTCAAGATGGGTTTGAAGGTAGGTTCTGATGATGATGGTGAGAGAGAAAACGGTAAAGATGGTGATGAGAAATACTGGAGTGAGTGAATGGATTTTCCAATTGTGGAGGATGATGCTGAAGTGCTGTGTGTTTAATCTCTGAGTGTGTTCAAAAAATATGTGCTTTTGTATCTCCTCTCCATAGGTATGTGTTGGTGAATTTTGTTACTTTTTCTTCTTTTATCCTTAATTTTTTATTGTTAGATTGAATATGCAGGCAGTATAAAGAGATCATCTTTTGATGTTGAGCTTGATCAATTCATATTTGCATTTCATTGTTGTTGAAGTGTGCGTTTTCTTCTTTGCTTTGCTACTGAAACTTACAAAATAAGCTTATGACAATGGTTCTGTCAGGTATGAATCTCGCTTCACAAGCTGTAAGTAACAAATTAATGTGTTGTGAAGGTCTTGTATTCTATTCTAATTCACACCCGATCAACTCTTTGGAGCTCTACTGTTCTTGGAGTAGGTTCTTCTGTGGTCTGGTTTTTCTGGAAATCTAATCTAATTTGGAATTAGGGGTTTTTTTTGGGTTATATTTATCGTAAATTTGTAATAGAGTGGAACAACTTCTCTTGCTTCCTTTTCGAGAGCTTGTGATAATATTCATCGTTCATATTGGGGTTTCGCCATTAGACCTTGCCAGTGGACATAGACATTCAAGTTGAATCATGTAATCTCATGTAATTTTTGTTTGTTGTTTTGTTCTAATGTTATTTTTTGATTACTTGCATAACAAAATGCAACATTTAACCATAGGTATGAAAACATCCACCTCTCTTTTGATTGATCAAATCCTCAAAACTATTTCACCATAGCATAGCATCCTTTTCTCAAGATTAGTCCAGTCTGGATAGCACATTTCATTTGGCCCATAAATCTTTCAACCAACTGTGTAATTTAATGAGGAGAAAGGTTTTGAAAAGGAACGGAAATTTTTTTTCTTGCTTAGTCCATAGCTAACAACCACTTTAGGTAAAGAAACAAAACTGAGAGAAATAGGTATCAGTAAGGTTAAGCAGTCTATCTCGAAACCTTTTTCAGCAGACATCAATTCAACAGGTTAGGGAGGGAGGCTTTCTATTTATATGTTTTGTTTTGTGTTTCGTTCTTCCAATTTGAGTTTGCTTTGAGGATGTTCGGTCTACAAGCCAAATCAGGATTGTAATTGTTGAATAGCTTGCAATGCGGCTGAGGTAGTAGATGGTGAGTGGAGGATCCAACACAATAACGTTTAATCTTCATCTGCTTCTGGAAGAGATTCAAAATAAGATAGATTACTTCCCGTAAAAAGGTGAGATTGACTTCGGTTATTTTGTTTTAGCTTCCCAAAATAGAAAGTTGCCTTTGTAACTTAGATGTTTAGAGAATTACAGAACATTTAAGTACATATTCTGATCCTGTGCATGACTTGCTTCATCCGGGTTATTATATGTGTTCTTCTTCTGAAACAATCTATGTACCCTGGTTCTTTGGGAATGCATATGTCTTATTTTTGATTCAGTCCTTTTTCAAACATATAGTATCCATATTGAAGTTTCTGCATGAGAAATAAATACAGGGAAGTGAACCCTTATCTGTACCTGAAGATGGTATCTTTTAGTACTGGTGTATTTTTGGGATGGATTCTGATTATCAATTCTTGTAAATGTTGTATATCTCTGCCTTACATGTATCCTCTCCTCTCTTATGGTAGATAGTAATGTTACTTGGATTGTAAATCAATATAGTATTACACAGTAATCCACTAAGATACAGTGTTGATTTGGGTCATGTTTCATTTTGGAACTCCATTATGTAGTTTGTTTTTGCTATTATATAAATTTTATATTTTTTAATAAATTTTATATTTTTTTTTCGCCTATATATGTGCAATCAATTAATTTTTACTGTACATTTGGGATCAGTTTTCTATCATCTAGAAATATATGTATTTATACATGCATACACTATTTATTTTGAAATTTAGAATTGTGATGAGTTCTTAAGCGAAGTAACTTTGGGTTAGGGTTACAATTTGGGGAGGAAAAGTTAGGTCTTCTGCAGTTCAACCAACCGATTTAGGTCCATTGTACCTAGATCGTGAATCGTTTGGTGTTGAGGAATTTCAGGTAACTATCCATAGCTTCTTGCACCAATTTCTCCTAACACATTACTAATTCTCATGGCGTAGATCTACTTGTTTTTAATAGATCAATAAGAGTATTGTTCTGATAGATTACTTTTCGATAGAGTTCATTAATATTTGAACGCATTAGTTTAGCCCCATCTATCTAAATAATTGATCTCAACTCGGGAGGAAGAGTTGGTAATAGACACAATACCATCCGTTCTGGTTCTATATTTGTTTGAATAAAAGGCTTAGCTAATTTCATGCGTCTAACCAAAACATCCTTTCTTCTTCCATTTTTTTGATCTGGCATGTAACATGACTAGACTTTTGACAAGAGGACTCGGCCTCAGTCTATATGATGAAAAAAGTAGGGGAGGGTTGGGTCTCTTTTGCTGGGTGGGGGAAAATAGAGAAACCCATCAGGGGTATGTTTGGATGGTCTGTATTGGGGGGATTGATTACATTTATCAAATCCTTCTAAACTCAAATCCATAATTTTTATGACAATGTTCATTATTTTAATAGTGTGTAACTTGTAAATAAATGAGTCGTATCATGTGTTTTTTTGATTGGTTTTACCTATATTCAATTCGTTTATTAATTGTGTCTTATCAGTTTACGAAATGGGTGGCTATGATTCACAGGTTGGTAAAAGGGAATGATTTTACCATTTAACAAAACAGGTGTTGCTTAAAATATAAGAAACACCGAACATGGCTTTTACATCATTTATTTTGGTGGTGGCACAACACTTATTTCAATACCAGTGGGTTCACTTACACATTGTTGTCCATCTTCATTTTCAATCCTCATCAGATCCAAATAGGATTTTCCGGCGAGCTTGCGAGAAAAATATCCCCAGGAGAAATCTACAACAGAAATCATTTTGAATAAAGCTGGAGTTCAGAGTGACAAGGCCTGATACTGGCCCGAGTTCTGCATCAAATTTCGGGCTAATAAAAGTGGCGATGGAGAGCCTCTCCTTCTCTAAGTTCCCTATCGCTCAATGTTCGACATTACGGTAAATTCCATTGGTGATAATCTGAAAAAAATATGCCAACAAATGAATAGTAGAATTATTTGGTATCGAGTTTGAGTCCAGTCCGAAGATTTTGCATACAATGACTACCGTAGCTAACATATGGTCATGCTCAAACGACTGATGTGCCAGACATTTTATACTGGTAAGACCAACGTACTGCACACACGGCTAAACTGCCATGACCGACGCACTCACCCAAATGTCTAAAAATGAACTGTCCTGACTGACTACTGCACATGACTGGACCAGATGATAGTGTACAAGAAGTCGGTCATGCTACATGAGCACACCTAGATGTCTATAAACAAACTGCCAAATCCAATGTATTACACGTGGCTAGATAAGATGGTAGTGTGCAACATGTCAGTTGTGCTGCATGGGCATACCCAAATGTCTAAAAACGATTGTTGTTTGCGCTTTCAAATTATCTCTAAGGTACTAATGCATTAGGGAGTGGAACAACAGGAATCCAATCCCATCCTTTTTTATCTGTAGGCCTTCCAGTTGATCATTGACTTGAAGGAGGATGGTGAGGGCCACCCCCGTCAGAATAAGGGGTCAGTCCGATGACCTGCTCTGGTTGAGGACATGGAGGATAGTAATTCATCGTCATGGTCTGACCTCCTTCGAATAGCACCCTCATATCATCAGCTTCCACTTCTAAAGCTTTTACCATAAGGTTAAGGACCTTCATGGCAAGGTTTTGTAGTTCTGTTGAGTATGCTTCTATGGAATCTCTGCATGGTATAAGAGAATTTTTCAGTTAGGGAAATGTAGATATCATTGTAAAAATAATGAGAGAAACTAAAAATAATGTAATGAAGGAGATTTAAACTCCGAGAAAGAGAGGATTCTAACCTGAATGGAAGAGGGAGCTTGGGGAATAAGTGGGGTTTCCTGAAACTTGTTGGAAGAGTGATCATATAGAAGCGGTCAGCCCAATCAAGCTTCTGCTCCTCTGAGACAACAAAGTCCTGTCCAAATCCCTGTGTCTCCTGCTTCCTGCCCAAACTTTTTCTTTTCCTCTAATGGTAGTTTGAAGAATTCTTGAGTCTCTGACTTCACTTTGTCCACCAATGAAGAGCTCACTCCATGATTTATCAACTGCAAAAATACATCTCATATTCCTTTTCAACTAAGCCCACATGTTTATAATTATAGGAGTCCTGACGAGTTTAGATTCCTTACTCCTATCAATGCATGGACAAAGATAAAAGACCATTAGTTGGGTTAGCAATAGAGTCCACAAGAGACTTAAGTATTATATTATGAATATCTAAATATATAGTATATATTATTACAATCAAATTAGGTGGGCAGGGCTTGGGAGGTAGATGGCCTTCCCTATCCATTTCTCTTTTTCCTAGAATTTTTTTTTTGTTTCAACATATGATTTTATTAGCACCATAGCTTATAGTCTAGTGATAAAGCATGTTCATTTTAGAGTCGTCCTTGACTACAAGTGATTATCAAACAAGGTTTGATTCACGAGATTCTTATGCCTTGCTACTTAGGCTTCGATGGTGGTGTGGTGACGAACTACCCTAAAAGGGTTTGTGGCTATGGCTAACAGAACATTTCACATCAGAGAAGACCTTTATGGTCACGGCCAGAGGAGGTCACTGTTTACTGGTCGCCCCTCTCCATTTTTTTGATAAAAAAAAAACATATGATTTTATCCATTCACATTTTGTCACGTGTCACTGTAACTACTCTCCACGCCTACTAATTAATTACCATACATTTGACCACTGAGGTGGTAGCCTAGTTGTATTTAGTAAGAGGGGAAAGTCACGCCCTTCTTTAGTTGTCATGGGTTCGAATTCATTTATAATAGTAGTTCTTGTGAATCAGATATTACTGGAGGGGCTAAATGTCCTGCTTGCCGTTGGTGGTGTTGTGATGACGAACTCAATCATCCCAAATCAATAATTATAACTCAAAATCGAATATTCTATAAAAAAAAATTACCAGAAACTTCAAGATAACGTTATGGGGATTGCTATGTCTGGTCGCCCCTAACCACCCTTCAATTTAGCGAAAAAACTACCACATATTTGAAGTTTTTTAAAAAAAATTATGTATATCACTCCATAATCTATCATAATTATTATTGAACATTTCAAATTACCAGGTTAAAAAATATAGAAGGATTAGGAAGAATCGTAACTTCTGTGTATAGTTCGAGCCTGCCGCTAATATATATTAGATAACAAACAAATTAATTAGGAGAGGCCTTGTCAGGCCTTCGCATCTTGTTTTGTTTGTTTCTAGAATTTTGATTTTATTAAATAGAATAATAAGATTTTGTTTATTGAAAATTTTCCAAGTTGCCTATGTAACCACTCGTCATACTTTTACACCTTCTCACTTAAAAAATTCTACATTTATATTGGTGATTCTTTGTGTCTGAACGAGATGGGTTGAGATAATAAAATGGGATCAGAAGCGGCCGCTGGCCAGAGCCTCTGGCTTTTCAGTGGAGGTTGGGGATTCGAAGTTTCCTGAGCGTAGAAGCGTGTCTGTTTGGTAGAATAAGACTTTAGTTACTTGGATGAACTGTATTCAAGTTTTTAGTGTTGGTCTTGAGTGCCGGCGAAACGCACGTTCCGTTTGAATTAGTATATGAGTTGAGGGACCGGTTCTTACACCCAGAGTTTGTTCTTGGTTCTACTCAGAGTTACGAGCTTGAGCGACATAAATGCACCTCTATTCGCTGAGGACAAATCATGGGATTTTCCCGTTTCCAAAAAAAAAAACAAATATATATATATATATATATATATATATAAAAAGAAGGGAGAATTACACCCAATTCTCTTGAAATTTATTATTTAATTATTCAGACTCCTTGAAGTTTAAAAAATTACATACAGGCTCTTGAAGTTTGTACGCGCATAATAATTTAAAATTTCTCTCTCTCTTGTAGAGAAGTTGTTCTTCAAACTAACGTTGTTTCACACACAAAACATCACCAATATAAAAAAATAATAATTTAAAATTCATCTCGAGAAGCTGTTCCTCAAATTGATGAGTTTTCGCACACAAAACGAAACCGTTTTAAAAAATAATACCAGTGTTGAACAGTAAAGGGATCCCCACCCTTCTTTTTCTTTTTTCTTTTTTTTTTTTTTATCTAGACTTAAGTTTAGGGACGGTTACCAACGTGAAGGCCAAAGAATATGTGTTCTTAGGCATCTCCGAGTCTTATTTAAATTTAAACTCAAATTTAAATTTGAGTAAAAAAATTTTAAAAATTTGTTCCAACCCTTAACTCAAACTTATACCAAATTAAGAGAAACTCATTTTTTTTACTCATATCAAGGGAGACTCAAATCTTTAATGTTGAAATTTTACTATTTTTTAAAAATCCAATGGTCATTATTACTCCCTTTTAAATTTGGGTTTACTCTCATTTAAATTTGGGTTTCTCCTTCTCTAAATTTGAGTCTGTCTATTAAAGTTTTTTATATCAAATCAAGATTTTTACTCAAATTTAGTCAAATTTGAGTTATAGTCGGAGATACTCATAATACTTGAGAAAAACATGACATTGATAACACTGCAAAAAGTAACTTTGTCAAAAAAACAAAATCTCTATTGGTTTGCAAATTATGAATGCTACTACACTTGCACCACGTATATACATGTTCATGAATAGAGTGTTAATCGACCTGAATTTGAAATTAATAATTTAATTATTTATAAATAAACGAGCTGATTCATTTAACTTTTTACATATAAACGAGTTTAAAAAAATATGCAAATTTAACTTGTTTAACAGCCCTATTCATGAATTGAGGCACGGAGCGATGAAACGTGAGGCATCGATGATGAATCCTGGGACTCAGGCCAGAGTACAATTTATTAGAATAATCGTCCAAATTTACTTTTATAGAACACCTGTCTGTCCAGAAAATTTCTACTCACTCAGCAACTCTTTGTTTAGGTGTGCCTCCAAGACAGTTTGCAAAGAAAAAACCAGGGTTAATTACAATTTTAGCCCTCTAATTATGCCCATGGTCCCTTCCAAGTTTCAAGTGGACTAAATTGACTAACAACAATAACTTAATGCCTGAAAGAACCATTACAGTCTCTGTCTTGTATATTATTTTTCATATTTTTTTCCATGAGATCAATTTTGTCCTAAAAAAATAAAACTACATGATTCACACTCCGAATGCATCTTAAGTTGCTCTTCAAGCATATTTGTCTTGACCTTATCAAACTTGGTCCGACTCTCAAAAATTCTTATCGTTCAACTAGCTCATAAACAAAGTAAATTCAAAGTAAATCCAGTGTACAAACAACAATGAATGCTTCTACTTTATCAATATCAGCCAAGCTCCAACCTATTAAACAAGTGAATGGACACAATGGGGAGTAAGTAAATAAAAGAAGAGAAAGAAACTTAAAGCCCTAATCTTTTAGGCAACGAAGGCTCATTTGCAAAGAATTTAGCCCTTACAAGAAGCATTGGGGGCAATTGTGGGGCCCTATACTTGGCAAGTGCCAACCAATAGCTCACAAGTAGGGATGACAATGGATCAAAAAAAATGGACATTCGTCCAAACCCGTCTCGTTTAGACCGGGGATGGACTATACCCTTACCCCCGTCCTGTCCCCGTTATACCCGTTAAACATAGCACTTTATTATTTATTGTTACTTCCTTGCTGTGTTTTATAGATGTCTACTAGGCACTCTTTTCTGGTTTCAACTTTCCTTACCAACACATGCAGCAACGTAATGGAAAAGTTAAGTTCATTTTAAATCCAAATAAGTGTATAAGGCTGGGTAATGCAATAATCAAGCAAATAGCAGAAAACCAAACCAATAATCATACCAACAATAGATATGATAAAGAAAAGTGCAATGTGAGGTAGCCTTCGTGTTAGACAACAAATGGAAGCCACCTAGCATGACTAATATTTATAATTATACTACGATGGGTGTAAAAACTTTCAAATTTTGATTAGATACAAAATCACTAGATAATAGAGGTGAGAAACAAATACA